TGAGTTTTAGCAGTCTTTTTGTTTTTGAGCTGTTGCATATATATTCCTAGAAATAGCAAATTTAGATCAGTTGATAAATTGATTGGATCCTAATCTATAATTCACAGGAATGAAGACTATTCAACAGAATATGAGCATAGAGAATGACATGGTCCTACACACAGGGGTCCTTCTCAATGACATTGACCCGTCAGACCAGCTTGTAACTTTGTCCGGCTCTCATGTAATAACAGGTAAACACACAAAGAAACCACTGGCCATGAAACTCATTTTCTGTGGTGAGGACCTCAGATCTTGAGGTTGGAACCCTAACACAGGCACTGGGTGCTTTTTTTTCTGTGAACAACTGAATTCTGTGGACCTGAAGGAACTGAAGACAGCACTTTCAAACTGTCCTTCCTTAATTAATGTTAAATTGCACCTATCGCTTGCTTTAATTGATTTGCTATTTGCATAACAGTGATTGAAATCTTAATCTTAGTTAATTGTTCCTGTAAATTCATTATCCCCTTTTGAAGAAAAGGGTACTTTGATCTTTTTTGAACAGAGGCATTCAGACCGTTTTTGGTTGCATGACTTAAAATATTCCTTAACAATAAATGCTGCAAGTGAACTTTTGGTCCCAAGAAATTTTCACATTATGATAATATTTCATTGATTGTTCTAGAAATGTGTGCAGTTGTTGTCTGACTTCAGCAGATCCAGATATTGAACTGTCGTTTTCCTCCAATTTTTGTCATACCCTAACAGGTCAGCTGAATTTCACAGATGTCATCCACATTGACGGTGACATTGTTACCGATGGCACCATAGATGGTGTCACTGTCAACAGCCTGTGCGGTGATGTCATGACTAAGTCAACAAACCAAACAGTCTCAGGTGAGATGTGGTTGGTTGACAAGGTGAACGAATAGGACATAGGGACGTGGTGTCTTTGCAAGTATTTAGTAATTTTTTAAATCTTCATCGAGAGATATTTCTGGAATGTCTTTGTCCCACAGGTCCGATTATCTTTCTGCAGCCTCCAGTATTTGACACAGATGTTGTCTACGGCGGTTTACTGAGACAGGTCAACATGACTCGTCTTGCTGATGAAGCAGTGAGGATCAACCAAGGCACTAAGGTGAGTGGATTAAATAAGTGGATTGTGAGTTGATTGTAAGCTGATAGTTGACCTTGACAAAGATCTACTGTTTGATTTGTGGAGTGCATGCTCATGTGGTTGGTTGTTGATCTCCATGAGACAGCCAAGTTATCATGCTTTGTTGATCAGCGTGGAGATCAGCTAATCTGCAAAAATGATTGAGCCAGAGGTGGACTTTGCAGTCAGTGGGTAATTGGGAAATAGGCTTGACTCCTTGGCTGTTTATAAGTTAGTAATGTTGGTGAACAAGTTAATTGTCACCAACACTCCTTTCAGTGGAAAGTTGAAAAAGATCAGCTGAGGAAATATTGCAGGAAAGCTGCATCTGCTCATTGAGATAATAAGGGGATTCGGTGTAGCAGCCAGTCAAAGAGAATCGTCACCATCTGGAACTTGTAGCTGACTTCCCCAAACAATCTCTGGTAGTCAGCGTAGATCAGAACACATTGGCCAATTTATATTAAAAGAACATTCAAAGCCCCATCTTGATCGTTGTTCAGATCGCAGGAGCAAAGACATTTATGGATGATGTCTCAGTAACAGGAAACGTCATCGTGGACGGCCTCGTCACAAACATCGATCTGCAGCAGGATGTGGTGCAGTTGGCAGGTAGAAGGGTCAAATATCTGGGGATCACATATCAAAAAAAAATATCAATTTGCCTTGGAGAAAGATTCTGGTAGGATTGAAATGTCAAGCCCTCTTACTTTGTTTTGCTTATGCATCTTAGGTCAATGTAATAGTCAGCAGGTAGTTCTCAGCAGTGTTTGTATTGTACATTTCAGAAAATATCACACGGAAACACTGAAATAACACCAATTGTCATTATCTGTGCAGCAGGCTAATTCAAAGGATTTGGCTTGTTGAAAAACCAGTTCTTCTTTTTTTAAACATTTTTGGCCATTCCTTGTTTGATAGGATTACCCCCTGGCCATTGACAAAGAACCGATGCTGATCAGACTGTGTATGATGTCACATAAAACTGATTGCCCAGTACATGAATTGCATGCACAACACTTTTGTATACGCGATTGCCTTTCGTCTCTTGCCTGTACATGAAATGCCCGCAGTTGCTGGTAATCTGACTGGCGCGAGGGTGTTTGGAGGGCTGGTTGAGATGGCGGGAGTGGTCAACATCACTGGCACAGTCAATGGGCTGGATCTCTCCCAGGATGTCGTTACGCTCAAAGGTGAGTTCCACTGGAAGAATCTGTGTGAGAGATTGTTGGGATCAGTATCCTAAAAGGAGTGTTCAGACAAAGCTTGAGTCAGTGGGTTGAGCTTGTTTTGTTCTGAGGGCCCGTTGCAGTGCAAGCGGTGAAGGATATTCTACATGGTATAAAATATCAATAAAAATTGGTTTCCTGCTGGACTGTGAATGGACAAATGGCGTGATTGTGCGATGAACTACTGTGTTGAGAAATCTGAGCAATTTGTTTCGTACCCCGCTGAGACTGCACATCCTGGCCAATCAGCAGTCGTGTTGGGCATGATGTCATGGACCGATTTGCATGGTTGAGCGCATCCTCGTCGCACATTTGATTCTCACTTTGTGGCACCTTTTTTTGTTGTGGAAAGTCAGCAACGTAATTCTTTGAATGCCGTACAAGTTTCCATTTTCAGTGTCAAAATTATGGCATTGCATATGACTTTCTATAACTGCATTTTGTTACCATTTGTCTGTCTAACTGAGCCTTGTAGTTTTGTAACGCCTCAGTTCTCTTTGTCCAAGAAGTTATCATGGTTGGTCACTCATTCTGTGTCTGTCACGGTTCAGAATCATCTGTCCTGCATTTTTTCCTTTTGTAGGTGACCACGCTATTCAAGGAAAAAAGACCTTTGTGGATGGTATATCGGCCGCTAAGAATATCAGTGTAACAGGTACAGTGGACACGGTGGACCTGTCCACATGGGCCAGCAATGTCATGACCCTGTCCACCAACCAGACTGTGCAGGGTAAGCCAAGAGGTTTATTCCAATCTTCCAATTCAGAATGTTTATAGTCCTTGCTGAGGAACCATTAGACCTGTGGGGGTGGAAGGAGGTCAGTGAATGAAAGAGACGGCCGTACAAAGAAGCAGTGTTAACTCACCATCTCTCCTTAACTTGTATGAGAAAGCCAAGAGAAATCGACGTCATGAGACATTTGCAGGGGAATCCCCCGATTTGAAATGTGCTTAACTTGTGTCCATGAGCATTTGCATTGTGAAATTCTGATGTGACGTCACAAACTTGCATTCATGGTCACTTTTCTGTGTAGTGCAGATCGGCCTTTTGGTGGGACAGGTTCAGGTATTTTGACCATTGAAGTGTAAGCTAGCCAGCAGCATGAATTCAGCAGGACTGACATTTTCTGACAGGATGGATAGGCGGTGTCAGCATTTAGGGTTTTGGCTGGCAAATTTGACATAACAGCAAAGGTGTTAGTAACCGGCACATTAATAATGCAAAATACAGTGTTGTCACTCTGGTACATTATTTCTAGCCATGTCATGAGGATTAACCCTAACAGTCCCAAATCCCCCGATTTCAATATAATTTTACATACACCCTAGGGGGTTAGGGTTAAAGCCAAATGTATGAATATTCACCATTAGGAGACAGTGGTGACTTGTAGACGGTATCTTGGTATTTTACATTTTGTAACATATCAATTACATCGCAAACGTTTTATTGGCCAATGATGTTAATGACTATGATTGCTCTGTTTTTAGGCCCACTGGTCTTCACCAACGACACCAACATGAGAGCTAGCCTCAACGTAACTGGCTTGATCAACGGCATTGACTTGCAGGCCATGTATCGTGATACATTCTTCAAGACGTCTGACCAAGGTAAGCCTGGTCATTTCTTGCTATCCCAATGTCCTATCGGATTATTGTTCATCTACACTGATTATTAGATTTGCTGGCTTAAAAGTCGCCGGTGATTGAAAAATCAGTGAAATGGTCAAAACTTTCAAGATTGAGATTTTGACTCCTGGTCACTGGATTGTAAAACTTTCATTGCCACCCTGAAACCTTTATAATTAGCGTTTCCATTTTCTTTGGTAAATCGTTGAGTATGGCCCATCTGCTGCTCATTTATTTTAGGAATAAAAAAATCTTCACGTTTCATTTTCTTTATATTTATAGAGTGAAATTCCAGTTTAAAAATTTTACCCTGTTAAATAAAATGGAAGGCTTCATGCATTCCCTGAAATTGTCGAGAATTCCCTCGCCATTTAATTTGATAGCCATTTATCCCTCGGAAGTTCTCCATTATCTTTGGAAATTGAACATTACACGTCAAGAAGATTGACTTGGATTTCAGTTTCATTATTTTCCTCTATTGAATTTTTCCCTTCTGCAGTGCAAATTATCAGTGGCAACAAGACATTCATGAAGCCTTTGACGGTCACAACAGGTCACATTGCCATCGAGGGACTTATCAACGGTTTAAACATGACCGAGGACTACCTCAACAAGTTCTCTGATCAAAATGTGACAAGTAGGTTTGGTCAAGGGTTCCGCTCTACTTTGCAGAAAAATCTAGCTAGTGGTTCAACAGCCTTACCCATTTCTGTTGCAATCTGCTCAAAGCAATGGTTTATCCAATTGCGTACAAATTAGACAAAAGGTCTTCAGTGTAAAGCTTGTCATTCTACTTGTTTATTTTAAGTTTTCAGAGTTCAGTTTGTTCAACTGAACATTTTCAGTTTCCATCAGACATTGTGCAGTTATTTTTTTAAAATATGGTGGTCCTTGTTTAATCTGGCTGGAGTGCTTTGCTTTGAACTTTATTTTGTTCATTTTTCACCCCTCAACAGGACAGAAAACCTTCGTGGATGGTTTCTCTGCAGATGGTGGCCTGAACGTGTCAGGATTGATTGCAGGTAATTGACCTGCTAGAGCTCTACGGCAACTCGCTACTCAGAGGTAGAGAGGCGCACCTGAAAGGGGAGAGGGTAAGTCAAGGTGTCCGAAATCAACCATAGGCAATTTAGACCTTTGTACATGTTCCGGAATTGATATTTGTTTTTTTTAATCATCCGTTCCTAAAGCAGTTTCAGGGCTGTGCTTGTCCACTTTATTCATGCACACATATTGCCGCATATCCTTGACTGTATCCTGTTTTAATTACCTTGGAAGAGTGAGGCCCAGTGGTGAGGGTTTGTGACTCGGGTTACTCAGTCCTCTCTTGCCGCTCTCCGCCCAGGTGTATTATCGGGAACCAGTATTGGCTGGGAAGCAGCCTGTGATGGACCAACATCTCATCCTGGTGGGATGAAATGTTCTCAGTCATTTTGTGCTGCTGAAACAGGAGATAAATGGTGGCTGCAGTGGGCAATGACAGACTTTTACTGTCCCGTTTCCCTGGTACTTTTAGTCTGTCCCAGTTTTAAACTTTGGGCTATAATTTTGTTTTACTTTGAAATTCCTGAACCATATCTAGTTTCCCAGCTGTGCAAAACTAAGATCACAACATTAGACCTGTTACTTTTATGATGAAAACAGTAGTAAAGGTAGTTAGTATAGACCAATGTGACCCCTGACCCTTGACTGACTCCTAGTCTAGTATAGACCAGTTTGACCTTGACTTTCGGTAACGAGTTAGTAGGTAAGGGGTCACGACTTCTGGGTCAGGAGAGGTCAGTGGGTGAGCGGTAAAAAGGTCAAAGGTGTGTAGGTGTGAAGTGTAAGCAGGTAAGAGGTTGACAAACGATGGGGGACACAGCCGCGGCAATGGTCAAGGAGGTAAGGGGGCGTTGTTGCAGGAAAAAGCAAAACTAAAAAAAGAAAAGCGAATGAACTTACCCCGAGCTTGCTGTGCGATGTGCCTCGTACTCCGAAGTTGATGTTCAACACAAACACATAGACTGACACAACCATGGACAAGGGAGTTATCTCTTTTTGAATATTTGTGACCCTCGGTGGGGTCTCTCGGAGAGGCCCCAAAAATCCGAAGCTTTCATTTCAACCTGAGAATGAAAAACTTCAAGGAAGCAGGGATCTCCAACGAGGAGACGATGAAGCGGAACAACTCCCAGTCTTCCATCGTCGATTCATCCGGCTTCTTGGTGGCTGACTGGAGCTCCTTCTTGACTGCCCACCCTGCCAGCTCTTTCAAGGTCAAAAGAGACCGTGACGACAGAGACTGACGGGTTGGGCACTCAATGTCGACCCATCCAAGTCTGTGCGCCAAGTAGCACTGCAGTTCCACGGGCACTGGAAGCTGTAGTGTAAGAGGCTCTGTAATTCGCAAGCAGACGTGCCCGTAGCTTGGAATAGGTGTCGATATACCGCCTTGTCCACCGCATTGGCGGACAGCATCTTCAGAGTCATGGTACGGCCATTAATTGATGATCATGGTCGCCGCACTATCTGCATAAGTGAACATGCTGGGCCAGCTAGACCCACAAGTGCTGCAACGTAAAGAGTTGTACTGGGGAGCTACCCTTCTCGTACCAGAGAATAGCAAGTGTATTGTAAATCTTGCTATTGTCGATGATCGATCTCTTCAGCCAGTTGGAGATAGTGTATATCTTCCATTATGGACAAATATAGCCAATTGATCATGTCCAACAGAGTCCACTGTCTACAAGCAAGGAGAAAAATGCCTCGTTCAAACGTATGTCAGTCCGTGGAGGTTGCGTAGCGGATCTTGGCCAACCGAGAAAATGCATGCTTAGATAGGTTCACTACAGTTTAGGCGACTACTTCGTGTTGGCATTGTTGTTATTTTTAATGATAGTAACTTTAATAGCCTCTAGGCAGTGCTTACAAGAACCAATATATTACAATTTTGGACTCAAAATTATTTTAGAAAAGCGCATAGTTATTTTACTCATACAGAAATCCTTGCAAAGTGGTAGAGGACAATGCTCGTTGGATAAAAGAGGGCAGAAAAAAGAAGAGGAGGTAGCAGTAAGTGGAGGTAGATCTCAGAATGCGAGCAATAAGCGGAGTCCTTGTTTTTACCTCATGGACGTAGATGAGGGTCCTCCCCCTAACGTTGCCCGCCAGCTTCCTCTGCATGAATTTCCCCTGCCGCATGCAGATGACGATGCAGGCCCCGGACCGTCCACCAAGTCACCAAAGAAGTTGAAAGGGGGTCTGAGCGATCTGTACCGCGCAGTCTTTTACAACAATCGTTACATCCACCACCTACAGATGGCGGGCAAAGAATACACTTTTCGAGTGATTTCGCAGCCCATTCGAAGCACCAAGAGGATTATCCGCACCATCGGCGCGGTAATCAAGTCCTTGCAGCGAAGGCTTTTTTGTCAGTTTTTCTTCATTTGATCATATCAGCGTATCTATCTATTTTCCAGGGGTCAGACTAATTTTTGGATTCTGTTCAGGAAGCTGAGCATGATAAAGAGACATTCAGTGACTGAAGTGCTCGAAGTTTACCTTTGCAACCTGAACCGCGAAATGACGCTGGATAACAGTGTCACTGTCAAAATAACGAGGGCGTTCCAAGATGCTCTGTCTGAAGATGACGATGGGGATTCTGAGGTGTATCCGGATAAAGGAGAGGACGTGGATTCTGAGCCCGGGCCTCCGTCGGGTACCGATGAGCCCACGATGGACACGTCGGCCACCCGGGCAGACCCATAGCACAGAGGGAATGAAGATGAGATCATCCAGCAGGAAGAAAAGTCTGGGGCATGGCAAGTAAGGCCCGAAGACTTAAAGCGCATCGTATCGATTATTTCGTGCCAAGTGCATAAATTTTGCACCCAGGGGAAAAAATATACTTCGCGTTTCAATGACATTGAGCCTGTACGCGGTATAGGTAATGTCTTAGATACTTTGAGAGGTGCATTTCGGTCCATCATGGACCGTGTCCTGAGCAACGCTGAACCTAAAGACTTTGTTTCGTTCGAGATGCGTTTTCCAGACTTAGACCCGAACTTCTGGATGAGCTTCAGAAAAAAAGAAGATCTCTCTGTCCATGACGTTCTGTCTAACATCGAAAAATTCTGCAGTCGAACGAGAGCGTCGGTCTGAACAAGGATGTCATCATTAGGGTCATCATTGTTAAGATGGACAAGGGAGGTCATCCAAATTGCCGTCTTGCTCATGGTGGGTCTGCTTTAGAGTGATGGCTCAAACATAAGAGGGGATGCATCACCATCAAGAACCGAGAGGAGCTTTGCTGTGCCAAGGCGATCGTCATTGCCAGAGCAGCCCTCCGATGTGCTGACCCTCAAACCAATTGGAATTCCGTTAGCCAGGGTCGTGGTGAGACCACTCGATTGGTGCTAGAACTGCATCATCAGGCAAACGTTCCACTCCAGAGGTGTGGCTTGGAAGAATTTTTGAAATTCCAGCAGGTTTTGAGTGATTGTTCTGTCCAAAGAGCTGTTTAATGTCGTCTGGTTCAAATGGAAGGACGCTCCGCAGAAGTTGTTCTGGTGTTTTTACGACAATCACTTTGCGGTTATAAGATCCATGACCAGTTTTCTGTGTAGAGCGTACTTTTGTGACGTTTGTCTCCTGGGATACGACGACAAAAGAAAGCACAAATGCATAGCTAAGTGTCTGTGTTGTTACCTGTCATTTCCTGACTGTGATTGGGTTGACTGAAAAGACTGCAACAGGCTGTTCAAGAGTCCCTCATGTTTCGAAAAACACAAAGAAAAAATGCTGCTGAGAAATGTGAAGACAGAGAGGGGCACTGCAGTCGTGGGTGGAAACTCTACTTGTTCAATGATATTCAAATGTACTTGTGGAAAGACCATAAACAAGAAGTGCCAATTGACGAAACAGAAGCACGTTTGCAGTAAGGTGTACTGTCAGAACTGCAAACTATACCAAGAGGCCGATTACCAATTCTTCATACATCTTCTTCAATGTAGTCATGGTGTACCTGCTGATGACCAAACGGATGATAGGGAGTAAGAGATTGACCCGGTGGAGTTGATGGAGCGGGAGCTAGAGAACGTGGAGGCGGTTCAACCCAAGAGTGAAGGTGAAGGGAATGAGGGCAAGCGTCCTCTCTTCATCTTTTTCGATTTAGAGTGTCGGCAAGATGGGTGAGTAGCCACGAATAGCCTTGGGCCCCGTGTACAGTCACGTTGAAAACCTGTGTGTTGCGCAGAGGGTTTGCCGACATTGCTTGCCTAAACAAGACATCTCGGTAGACTTTTCCTGTCCTTTTTGCTGCCAGGGAACCACCACCGAGCACATTTTCAAGGGGGCCAACACACAGGACAATTTCTGGGAGTGGCTCTTTAATGAGGACGGCAGCCACAAAGGCACAATCTGCATTGCTTATCATGCCTCGCGTTACGACTCCAACTTAGTCCTTCAGTTTTTATATGAGCGAGCTATTCCCCTCAAGGTTGTTATGAACGGGGCTAAGATCCTGTCCCTCGAGGCCATTGGAATTATAATCATTGACTCCTTGAGCTTCCTGTCAATGCTTCCTCCGGCGATCCCCTCCACGTTTGGGCTGACGGAATCGAAGAAGGGATATTTTCCCCATCTCTTTAACACCAAAGGGAACGAGCGCTATGTTGGCCCTATTCCAGACCCAAAGTTTTACGACCCAGACGGAATGGATACAAAAAAGAGAGGAATTTTTGCAGTGGCATGCTAGTCAACGTGGGTGACCATTCGATCTGCAGAAAGAAATCATAGAATACTTCCGCAGCGACGTGGACATACTCTGATGTGGGTTGTTAGAGTTCCACTCGATTTTCATGAAGCATACCAGTGTTGGTCCCTTTGAATCCTCAATCCTCAATCGCTCATGCCTGCAACGTTGCACTTAGACAGAATCAATTGCGGGAAAACACGATCACTATCATTCCAGCCAGGGGATGTAGGAAAAATCACACTCAGTCTGCCGAATGGCAGCGAGGTTACCATTGGCAAGTTCCATGGTTGTCTGTGGCACGGATGCCCAAAGTGTTTTACGTGCACAGACGTGACAACCCCCCTTACTTCGCTGAGC